TATATATATATACGTATATATATATATATAAACAGGGTAACATTAGAAACAATTTAATCCTTTTTTTAGGCACAAATAAGTAAGCATTATGTGAAATAAACATTTTAGATATAAATCACTCCAATGAAGTTAAGTAATAAACTGATGCTGTCAACTGCAAAAGAGAAGTTTCAATACTGTTCAGCTTTCAATTCAAGAAATTGTTATCCAACTAATGCAGATGAATGAAGCTTGTTAAATGTTTGACTATTCAAAATGAACAGTTATTCATCATCCAAAGCTTCTTTTAACCATTTTGCATTAGGTAGGTCAAAGTGTGCATGTCACAACCTTTCACAGAGCTTCATTCAAAATTTCATTAACTAGATTATTATCAATATATAAAAATAAACTTGGCATTGAAAGATAATTAATAAATCAAATTTTAATAGTATTTAAGTTTTAACTTCTTAATTTTATAAGGAAATATTTTTAAAAAAACTAAATCTTCCCCTAGTATGAGAACTGTGACATTTGTTATCTAGGTCTTCCCTCTTCTTTAATTTATTTACCATCCCTTCAAGAAGTTTGGAATTCAATGTAAATTACTCATTATAATATGGTTACTACTTAGACAAAACATAATTTTTATAGCTTTCAATCTTAGTTGGTTTCAGAGCCATAATGTAGAAAATGAGACTCCTCTCACCATGCCCATCTGTCACAGCCTTTTTCACAAATTGCCAAAAGTTCATTCAGATGCTTAATATTGTATTATGTATAACCAATAGAAAGCCAAGGTTTCAATCTATCAAATGACATATTATAGTATATTGTTTTCTGTACAGATAATTGTCAGTTTTGCTTCCAGTTCAAGTTTGATTCTCACAGGAAAGACATTGATTAGCTGAATTTCTACGGGCTCTTGTCGCATTGTTAGAAAGCAGAATAATTGTGATATTTATTCTGATTTTTGCATGTTATTATTCTGTGTTCTTTGGAGCATTATTTGATTAAATAAAAAATATTTATTACAATAGTACCATTAGTAAAAACAATGTAGGGTTAAGTGTCATTGACAGTCTACAGCAAAAAAGATGACGACCCAGATAAGTACTTTATTTCTTGTTTTCATGTGTATTCTTTATTTAGTATTATAAAAGTAACTAAAATGTAAAGATTAGAAACGTTTTAAGCTAGATAAGGTTAGATTCAGTAAAATTAATAATAATAATACTAAAAATAATTCATGAAGTACGCTTGTGAGTATCTCGCAAGTAGACCATGTGTTATGTAATTTGATAGGGTAACGTGAGTTGCACATTAGCTAAGTAATATCAAATTTTATGGTGGGAATATTAGTTTAGACACAGTTCAAAGGGAAATAAAATTTAATATCAACAAAGATGTATACTGTCACAAGTTTAAAGCTATTTAGGATAAACAAATAATGTCTCATGTTACAATCTGAAGTCATTCTAGAAAGAAAAAAGAGGTGTGGTTACAAGTTTGGTCAAATTGAGTTAGGGTAGAAAAAATAACAGAGAAAATATAGTTTGTGTTTTTTTAATTATATTTCTCTAGGAGATTTTAGGGATTATGCAAACAAAATATGAAAATTTCCACATGAAGGAAAGTATTCTTAATCTTATGATATTAAATTTATTTTGCACTCGGAGCAGTCAACACTCTAACACTATAAGTTAAACAGAAAGTTTCAGTAAAAATAATGAATTAAAAATTCTGATTTTTTATTTGCAAAAGACTTAAAGTTTACTGAAAGCTTGCCAAAATTTGTGAAGATATAAGTACTTTAAGAATTACAGTTCATATACCACCATGCTTATATGATGGTTAAAGGTTCTGTAAAATACAGGTGCCTGTCCTGATAGTGTTAAACTAAATGAATGAAATACAAAATAAGTAAAAACCAATGAAAAGAAAATACATGCAGGCATTTAAATTTTATCAGCATCTGATGTCACATCAGTTATTTGTATTTTCTTTTGTATCCTACTTTTTACAAATGGAATATCTCAGTTTTTTAAACTGTTAATTTGTGTGTTTTTTATGATAAATCAGAGATTTATAGATGGTTACAAGTTTGAAATATGTTTAACAAAACTTGTATTTATAGCACAAAAGAAAAGAAGAAAATGTAGAAGTCCTATTATATAATTTACCTTTGTTCTGTCATCTTGTGAAGCAAGATAGTGACCAAATTTCATCAGAAATTATAAGGTATGTTAGCAACAGAAATATATGTGTACAATAAGTTTTATTTTTAATGCCAAAAATTTTATTGGTTTGTTACATTTATGTCAGATTTTTATATCAAGCATTTGTCTTTGCTACAATTTAAGTAGAACTTCACTGTTATCTCTGTCATCTGTAGATAAACCATTCTTTTATCTCTTTACTTAGTATTCTTGCATATTTACATTTTTCTTTCCATTTCTATTGTCTAAGGACTAATTTCCTCATTTTAATGCTATCTGGTGGCTCAACAGTAAGCTTGAAGTCTTATAACATTAAAATTAGTGGTTTACTCCTTGCAGTTGACACATTTCAGATAGCACATTGTGCAGCTTTGCATTTCAATCAGTAAAATAAGCAAATCCTCATTTTAAGTTTAAGATAGAACTTCAAACAGTTTAAAATTTTTCAAGAGTAAAATTTAGTGATTTGAAAATGAATTTATATTCAGTTTGTCTCATGTGATTTATAAATTTGATTGCATATTTAAGCTGTGGATTTTTGAAATTTATAGAAAATCATCTATGTTATTTTGCTTATCCAATTTTCCATTTTGCCAACCTTGAATTTGTATCCAACTTAAGTCTTGACCCTTAACTCATGGATATAAAGCAACTAGTGGCTGGTTTAAGTTTGACCATGTTTTATGAATATGTAAATTCATGTAGAGTGTAAAATTATACATGGCCCTTAATTGTTCAGTTTTATATCACTGTAAAACATATCTGTGAAATTTGTATATGTTGTCAAAATGTGTAGAACTTTATTATGTAATTACACTATAAATTATTTATTGTACTTGTTAATTAAATTCAAATTCTAATGTTCTAGTTATAAGTACTGAAATGTAATTATTGTGCATTTTTTAGTTTTACAAATTTTTCATTTTTATTAGCTAACAAATATGTTTGATAAACTAATTCTGTGTGTAGATAAAACTTGAAAGAATACAGAAAATATTTCAAAATGCATTTGAGGCTGTAGCAATAGAATATTTATTTGATACATATTTTTTTCAGGTTAGCTATTGAGATGGATAATATCAAACTTCATGTTGCAGTGGCTGAAATTCTTGGGAAACTCTGTTGTATTTTGTCTGGTGAAACTGTGTTAATCAGGTTTGTTATTTACAGTTTACTGACTTTCAATACTAAATTCTGGGGTTTGATTCCCTGTGGTGGACAGAGTGCAGATAGCTCATTGTATAGCCTTGTAATAAAGCAAACAAACAATTACACTGTCAAGCTAGGTGTTCTTTGTAGTTAGTGATTGTGCATGATTTTGTTTTTGTAACTATGATGAACCTTTCTGCAGTTTGCAAATCATGGGAACTATGCATGGTTTTTGTATGTAGGCTCAGCCAGTTTCATAGACATAATAACCACCATGAAACTATACATACTGTAACTGAATGTACTAAGTGTATGTTTATGAAATTTGGCAAGCTTTTAGTAAACATTACAAGTCTGATGTACACAAAAAAAAAAATTCTCAAACAGACTTATCTCCTTTCACATAAAAGGCTATCTCAATTGTTGACTGCCCTCTAAGCATTGCTAAAAGAATTTTAGTTATCAGCATGCCAGTCTTTATACTCACTAGTTTTGCACCATTTCTGAACATGTACATATCATGTGACTACTCTCTACCAATAGTATTGTGCAACCTATAACTGCATAACCAGCTCCCTCTGCTAATCCCACTCAATTCCCACTTTCTCATTTGGCAGGACACATTTTAGACATGTGTTTAATTTTTCTGAGTGGGACTACAGTTTTTCTTTGTGTTTTGTTACCTTTTCAGTCCAAGATTAATCTCACAATATTTTTATATTTCTCATTTGTTTCCAGTTGTTTCTACAATTTTGCATTAAACTAAATTCTCACTTCCAAAATCTATGTTTTTAATATGAATTTGAGATTTAATGTGGCAGACAATGATATTCCCATCATAGATGGCACGATTTTCCAAGACACAGGATCGACTTTTTCTGCCAAGGTAGTTCAAGCATTGGTGCGCAGGGAGTTAGAGTCTTACGTTCGTCCAGCAATTTGTTTTCCTCGTCCACCTGACCATGTTTCTGAGGAGGCCTACCACCTTGAGGAAGAAAATTTGGACTCTATTATTTCAGCACCATCCTTTTTTTTTTGGTCCATTACAGTCTACACCTGTTCAAGACATTTTACCTTTCATTTTATGTTACTTTCATATTTCCTGGGCAAAGAGTATACCTGTTCCAGAAGTAAAGTGGTACCCCACAGGTGTGCTTCATTTTCATCTCCGAGCACACCCATTCATTCTGGGTGGTTGCTTTCTTTACAGTGTGGGAATCTAGCCTTTTCTGTTTCGGAAGTTGTCATTTTCTCACATTGAAAATGTATTTCCGATAAGTACTTATCTCTTCTCACATACTTCCCACCCTTCCTCCCCACGAAAACAATTGTTTTTATTCTATTACCTACTAATTCTTGAAATTGAGGATTGGGTGGGAATGAAAGAGGGAGCTAGTTATGCTATTATAGGTGATGCAATACTATTGGTGGAGAGTAGTCACATGATACAAGCACTTTCAGAAATGGTGCAAAACTGGTGGGATATGAAGACTGGTGCACTGATTATTAAATTCTTTTAGCAATACTTAGAGATAGACTTTTATGTGAGAGGAGGTAAGTATCTATCGGAAATACATTTTCAGTATAAGAAAAATGTTAACTTGTATGATAAAATATTTTTACTAGAGATTTGTTTGTAAATGTATGAAGCCTTTACTGATTTAGTCTTAGTGAAAGATCATTTTCACGCTAATGAAAAAAATTCTTTTTTCATCCTACTGTGTTCTAATTTTATAGAACCTCTCAAATGAATACTAAAAATTTTTTGAGATAAAACTGTATACTTTATCTTGTATTTTCTCAACATTACCACTAAATATAGCAAATTCATCTGTGGCAAAAGTTGAAAAATGTGAAATGAAATCAAAAATATATCGTTTTTTAGAATTTTGCAGATTGTGACAAACAATTACAATTACTTATCATAAAAACCCTAAATTCCTGACAGATTCTCTGCTACTTTCATTTAATTTTATAGCAATAAATCACTCACAAATAGCTTACCACTCTCACTACAGGCAGGTCAAAGTTTGCATGTCACATCTTTTTACAGTTATATTCAAAATTTAATTAAACTATATACAAATATAATCTTGGCATCAAAACGTAGCTAATTAATCAAATTTTAATATTATGAAAGTTTTAAGTTCTTAATTTTGGAAGGAAATATTTAAAAAAATCCTCAATCTCTCTTACCATGATAATTGTGATATTTGTTCTCTAGGTCTTCTATCTTTTCTACTTTATTTACCACCACCATGAGAAGTGTAGAATTTAACAAAAATTACTCACTATAAGGCATGCAGTAGCACTTCGATGTAGGGATGGCTTGGATTGTTCATCGAAATGGTATTGTTACGTCTCTGTATGTTTGCTTGTTAATTCCTTCA